AAGTCTATTAAAATATTTTTTAAAATAAAAGGAAAAATGAGGCTCTGGGTGGCAGATGGAGACTGGGGGTGGCTCCTCGGCCCAGAGGGAGAAACCGGGTGAGCTGAGCAGGGGGAGGGGCAGGCATCCCCGGATGGTCCTGCCCTGCCCTGGGTCTGTGGGAGCTTCTGGGAATGTGGACGTGCAGGGAGCCCCTGCTTGTCCCTGTGTCTGCCAGAGAGCCTGTCCGGCACAGCGGGGGCACTCGCAGATGTAGCCTTCTCTCCAGACCAGCAGGAGACCTGCCTGCAGTTGGCGTTAGCCCGCGAGAGGAAGGTCCTGGTGGGAATTCTCCCTCCAAAAGTCCTTTGGGAGCTGAAGCTGGGCAGTGCCCTTGGGAAGGAAAGGAGCAAAGGGGCAGGGCCCCCAAGCACACAGACACCCTGTTGGAGCATCAGGGGCCATGCTGTGGGAAGCGGGAAGGGGCTGAGGAGAGACCCAGGCAGAGCGGGTACAGTCAGATGGTGACCTGAATCGGTGTCCTCTCACCTCACCAGGGCGGTGAGGCTGCTTGCACTACTCATGGGCTTCTCTGAGCTTTGCCGTTTACATCTGAGAAAAGGGCTTAGAGTGCTCTCAGATCCTAGGAGGTTGATGTCTACGTGAGAACCACAGCTGGCTGGCAGCTGTTTGCACCCCCTGGAACACCTGGCTTCCTTTGCCCATGACTCTACAATCACCTGACCTCTCCCTGGTGTTGGCCAGGTACCCACTGCAAACGAGTGATTGGCCTTCTTCCTTGGGCACATGCGTGAGTCAAGGAGCCCATCCTCGTGCCCTGGGAGTTTCTGATAAGAGCACAGTCCCTGCTTGGGCAAGGGTCTTGCTAAGAACGGAAAAGCTGGCTTAGCTTGGAGATCAGGGCCTCTGAGAAGCCCCTGGGGGCAGCCAAGCCTAGGCCAGCAGAGGAGAGGCTGGGCCAGGCCATCTGGGTGCAGAGGCAATGCCCACAGTGTAGGGCACCAGCCTGGTGTGTCGGGGCAGCGTGCGTTTCTCTTCTTAGTGGAAATCCCTCTCTTTCAGCCACATTGTATTTGACTGGGATGTGTTTTTCTTGGCTGTAAGGAGCAGGATTAGTTGCACGCTTTGTAATTTTTGGTATTGAAGGTATTTTTAACAAATGCAGTCAGCATCGTGGGAACATCCTGGAGTTGCTGGCATGTCTGCAGTCTAAAATCAACCCCATTCCCACCCCAGCCTTCCTCGCTAAAGACGGAGTCGCTCAATGAGATGTCTATTTTTGTTCATTTAGGTTTGGAGTTGAAACATGGATAAAATTAAGGAAATTGGTGTTTCCCTGTGGTTAGTTCTCCTTCTGATAACTTGAGACATGTGACAGAAAAGGATTAAAAGGGCCAGAATTCACAGCATGTTCCAGGCAGGGAAAGTTGGGAGCCAGAGACCCTTCCCAGGAAGAGGTGACCCTTCTCTCCCACCTGGCTGTTCAGTGCATACTCTAGAGGGGAGTAGGCAAAAGAAAGGTTAAATGCACTTGGGAACATTCACTTAGGAAGGTGTTAGTTTTCCACTGTTGCACAACTAACGCTACAAACTTAGTGGCCTAGGATAGATAACAAGTGCTGCAGTTTGGATATGGAGCATTGCCCAAAGGTACATGTGTTGAGGTTTGGGTCCTCAGCCTGTGGTATTATAGGAAATGGTGGGATTTTCCAGAGGTAGAACCTAGTGGGAAGAAGTTAGGTTGTCAGGGATGTGGCCTAGAAAGGGATATTAGGATCCCAGCCCCAGCTCTCCCTTTATTTGATTCCTTAACCCCTTGAGGTAAGGAATTTTCTGCACCACAAGTTCCTGCTATGATTTACTGCTTCTACTCCACCCAAAGTAACAGGGTCAAGTGACCATGGACTGAAACCTCTAAAACTATAAGCCAAAATAATACATCTTTTCCTCCTTTTTGGGGGGTTGGGGGGTTATGCTGGGGATTACTCTGTCATTGAGCGACATTCCCAATTCCCTTCTTTTTACTTTCGAGACAGAGTCTCACTAATTTTCCCAGGCTGGCCCCCAACTTGTGACCCTGCTGGCTCCTCCAGAGTGGCTGGGATTATAGGCATGCACTACCAGTCCTGACTTTTTCTTCCTTTTCATTATTTCAGTTATTTTGTCATAAAAACAAAAGGCTGATTAACACAATATGTTAATGTTCTCACAATTTCTGTGGGTGAAGAATTCACAAGCAAATGTGTTTTTTTTTTTTTTGGCAAATAACTTTTAATGTTCTACAGCACAGTAGAGAAATTATGACTAGCAGTTAATTGTGTACTTCAAATAAGAGGGGATTTTGAATGTTAATATATTTCAGTTAATGGATATGGTGATTAACCTGATGTGAACATTACTCATTACATAGATAAATTGGTAAGTATCATACTATATGTACAATAATTATATGTCAGTTAACGTTTTAAAAATATTTTTAAAGAAATTGGGGAATGGCTTAGTTGGAGCCCCTGTTTCCAGGTCTCTCAAGAGGCTGTAAAGTGTCGGCCAGGACTGTGGTCTCATCCGAAGGCTTGGCTGGATGATGATCCACTTCCAAGGCCACTCACACGGTTGTTAGCAGGACCCACTTCCTCTAAGGTGTTGGGTCGAGGCCCCAGCTCCTAGCTGCCTGTTAGCAGTGGTTGCCCTTGGTCCTTGCCATATGAGTCTCCCCAGTGTGCAACTTGGTACATCAGAGCCAGCAGGAGGAAAGGTTAAGGGGAACCTAAGCTCAGCATCACATCCTCAAGGTTGCTGAATCCTGCTGGTTAGAAAGTTATTCAAGAGAGGGAGATGGTGCAAGGCTGTGTATATCTCGAGGTGGGATTCTAAAGTCATCTCAGATGCTACTCACCCTGCACACATGTAAAAATAGCCATGCTGTGGCTAAGGTGTGCATTTACCTCGCAGGAATATAAGTAGCACAATCTTTCCAAAAAGTGCTTTGGTTCCTGGTCCAGCAGGGGCAGACCAGGGTGAGCTCCTGACTTGAGACCTTTCGCCAATCCTCTCAACTTCTCAGACCCTCAGTCTCTTCTTCTTTAAAATGGGGGTGATGGCAACCACTGTGCTTCTTTGTGACTCTTGGGGATTAGGTGTGGCAATGAGTATGAAAGAGCCGGCTGTGACATCTCACTCATAGTGGCACTTAGAAATTCTTCCAAGAGTGAGTTTTCTGTTGACACTATGGGGACTGTTATGGTTCCCATGTTTGTAAAACCAACCCCCCACCACACACACATTTAAATCTAAGTGCCAAGGTGATAGTTTTAACAGGTAAGGTTTTTGAAAGGTGATTCAGAATTGAGGGCTCTGCTCTTATGAATAGGATTAGTGCTTTTAAAAGAGAGGCTCTGAGAGCTTGCCTGGCCTCCCTCATGAGGACTCAGAGAGGAGGCACCATCATTGAAGTGAAGAGTGAGCTTCCCTAGTCACTGAATCTCCTACCGCCTTGACCTTGGACTTTCCAGCACCCGTAACTGTGAGAGGTAATTTTCCATTGTTTATAACAGAACAGTCTCAGACATTTTGTTTCAGCACCATAACTAAGACAGGGGCAGAATCCTATTTGGAGACTTCGGTAGCAAGAAATGCATGAAGATCCCTTCCAAATGTTTGGATTCCTGCAAAAGTGAAATCCATCCCAGCCCTTGGGGAGGTCAGACCACTTGCTTAAACTTGGGCCTCTTATTCTGTGGAATGAGGCACCTGCCAAGCTCTACAGGGCTAGTGGCTGAGGCTGCAAGAGGAGGGACCATCCAGATGAGGAAGGAAGGAAGTGGCTTTCTAGTTTCTATTGTAGGGGCTGGGGATATAGCTCAGCAGCATAAGTGCCTGCCTGGCAAGCACAAGGTCCTGAGTTCAATTCCCTGTACCAAAAAAAAAGAAAAGGAAAGAAAAAAATAGTTTCTACTGTAAAAGAAAATTTTTTCCTTAAGGAGAAAATGTTATGTGATCATAAAAGTGATGCTGCCCAGTAGCAGGACCCTAAAGGGGAGGCTGGAAACACTGCCATCCCACCGCTCAGAGGGGCTGGCACTGGGCCTATCAGGGTCACAGGCAGGGGTGCACTCTCATCTGCCACAGCTGAGTCCACCCGGACCAGCCAGTTTGAAACCTCAGGGTGGGGTGGCAGGCAGGACAAGGCTGGAAGTGCCCCATGGGTGACTCTGAAATACACCCTGGTTATGAAGCACCCAAAATGCACAGTGTCTTATGGATGAACTCAGATGTGGTGACATCATGTCATCAGCATTTTTCCAGTGTTACTCATTGCTCTTCTCACTCAGTGTTCTTTGCCTGCCATGCTCAGCTCCCCTCATCAGACTGGTGCAAGCCCTTGCACACCTTTCCCTTCGCATTTCTAGGCTTACATATGTATGTGACTGTATAGTTGGGGTTGCTTTTTTTTATATAAATAGCATTACACCACACATGCCATGCTGTGGCTTCCAGTGTTCTGCTCTGATCCATCTTGGTATCTTCCCGTGACCAAGCATGTGGCTGGCCCACATTCTTTGCCTTGTTTCATTATGTTCCAGACTGTAGACACACCATTTTTTCTTGGCTTTCTCTCATACGTAGGCATTCGTATTGCATCCAGAGACATAGTCTTACACACAACGCCACCCAGTTGCGTTTGTTCCCTTCCTTGTACACACACAGAAGTGCTACCGTAGGGAAAGTCAAGAGGCAGGTGGCGGGTCCGAAGGCTGCCTGTGTTGCTCTTAACTGTGGTGTGTCTCAGTACCATTTTCCCATCATCCTTGCTATTATTCAATATTTTCAAACTTTCAAATGAACCAAAACAGGCAGAGAAGCCTCTGGCAGTGGGCAGAGGTGTTCAGTTCTACTGTCTTCCACTCCTGGGCCAGACAAAGGCTCATGGGGGTGGCACTGATATCCAGTGGGGCCTGTTTTGTTCCTCATGCCATTTGCCAAAAACTGAAGGAATGAATTTTGCAAAAGAGAAAGAATTTATTTACAAGGCAGCCAAGCATATGGAGGCGGGAGCCACCTCCCTGAGGATAGCACTTAGGGGTATTCGTGGGACAAATAAGCAAGGTAGTCATAGGTGTAGGGAAAGGAAAAAGGAAGAGCTCATATCTGTGCATGCACAATCACACTGCATGGCTCTGCATAGCATGTGTGCTCAGGAAGTGGCAGCATAAGCACATTCTGAGAGTGGAATTTGAGGTGCTCTGGCAACAAAATGTCACCTGTAGGCCACTCGCACAGGCCCAAGTGAAGGGTGGGTGGTTCCAACTGGTCTGAGCTACCTCCAAGTTCCCAAAAAACAATTTAGGTTGCCTTTGCCACAGCTCTCCGTGTGTCAGAGGCGTTGTTTTCAGCAAAGCTGCTCAGTTACACGACCTCCAGAATTTTTTTTGTGGTGGTGCTGGGGATATGGACTCAGAGCCTTCCGCGCATTAGGCAAGCATTTTACAACTGAGCTACATCTGTGCCATAGAGGTGGTGAGAAAGCAAACATCCAAACGCAAGTGAAGCTAGAGGGTCTACTCGCCAGCAGTCACAGGGACCCAGCGAGTCCTTTAGCAGGGTTTTTCAGGTGTTTCTTCAACACAGTGCAATTTCTGAGCTGAGTGGATAGGGGGAGGTTTGCGGTGACTGTGAGCAACAGAACCCAGGCCCATAGTAGGAAATAGCTAAGCTGCAAAGCAGTCAAAGAGATGCAGGGCTTCTTTTCAATGCATGGAGTAAAATACATGAAATGAGAAATGATTTAAAGATGGAATTTATAATTAAAAAGCGAGCAGACAGTAAGGATTTGGAAAACCACAGCCTGGCTCCACAAAAGAATGAAATAGCAGCGTGTTTAGGAGAGAAATCCAAGGGTGTGGCTAGGCCGCGTTTGCTAAGGAGATTAACAGGGACGGAAGGAAGCTGAGTGCCAGTCACCAAGTCAATGGGAGAAAGCCATCGAAAGCATTTCAGGGATCTCTGAGGCTGCCCCCTTCCCGTGCTCGGAGAGCTAGCTCGTTGCAGGCAGAGTGGCTAGAGTGCTTTGGGGCACACATAGCAGCCCCATTCGCCTGTTGTAGGATTCTGCTCCTCATGTTCTGGTGACACGCTCCTTGGCTGTCCCAGCGGTGACTCCTGTGGCTCAGTGCAGCTCAGGCCAGTGCTCGAAGGGAGGGTACTGGTGGTGACATGTGGAGGGGTCCACACAGTTTTTAACTCCTTGGGCTTGCAGAATGCAAAAGCTATTGAGGATAAAAGAACTGAAGATAGATCAAAAGGAGAGAAAGAAATTATAATTTATAAATTGTAATTTTAAGAAAACTACAGCTTCAGGACACAAGCAAAGCTTCCCAAAGTCACAATGTCCTTTTCACTGCAGTCCCTAGACTTCTAACTCCTAAATCCCCAAGAGTCTTTAAGATACTATAAGTCCATAAACTTGCCCTGTGGTTTTCTTCTGATACTGTAAGTCCACAAATTCAAAAGACTTCCACTCTTAAAGAAATAGTACAATTAACTGGGTACCATTTTCCAAACTTCACACATGCACGGTTTGTGTTTTAACCTTGTTGATAAAGCCAGTTTGCTTTAGCTCACCAACAAGCAGCCTGACCTTAAGGAAATGGACACTTCGTAAATGAGAAATAATTCGAGAGAAAAGATCCCAGATTGTCCATTTTGAGGATACCCAAAGACCACACAAACACCCCAGCTCCAGGCCATGATACAGCTTACCCCAAGCACCTGCACTCCTTTCTGTGTACTTCTTTGATTCTGCCTAATAAATCTGCCTATGTTGCATACCAATGAGTTTTACAATTCTTTGTGACAAGTCAAGAATCCACAGGGTTAGGTTTCTCTCCAACTCCTCTTTAAGGGGCCCTCTTTGGGCCCTGTTTAATGACAGTGAGGCACAGTTTGTTGTATCTCAATTTCCAAAGGTGTTGTAAACAGCCTGAGGGCCCAGAGACCTGTTACTGAGCCTGACGCACTGCAGATCCTCACTATGGCAATGCCTGGTAGAGCTATGGGACTGAGGCTGCCCTGGAGACCCCAGTACTGCAGGGTCATGAGCATGCAATATCAGCCTGGGAGGACAACAGCCACCATGGGGCTGCTGCACCGGCCAAGTCCTACAAAACCATAAAGGCAGAGCTGTCCAAGGCAGTGGGGATCCAACCCCTATTCCAGGGTCCAGGAAGCAGGACATAAAGTCAAAAAGGATGATTTTGAAGTTAGATATTTACTGTTGTTCAATCTGTTGGCTTTTGGACTTCCTTGGAGCCAGATATCCCTCCCACTTCTCCCTTTCAGAATAGGAATATCTGTCCCATGCCTATCCCATCATTGGGTTTGGGAAGCACATCACTTGTTTGATTTCACAAGCTCACAGCTGAAGGAGAATTTGCCCAGGATAATCATACTTTTGAGTCTCAACAATATCTGATTTAGATGAGACTTTGGACTCTGGAGTTGCCACTGGAATGAGATAAGAGTTTTGGGGGCTTTGGGGATGGGATTATTATGGAAGCCAGGTTCTTGGGTCCAGAAGAGAGAGAAACCAGACCTAACTTAGAGTAATACAAACACAGGCAAGGCTTTTACTGGGACTTCAGCTTGACCAAACAGGAAGTTGCAGCTCTCATAAAGAGCAAGTCAGGCCAGCAGCTCTCTGAACAAAAGAAAGAGGGTAGCTCATATAGGAAAAGTTTCCTCCCAAAACTCCCATCCAGGTCCTCCATGCATACAGGAACCCAAAGGACATTCTGGCTCCTGATCGGTCAATGTCTGAGGCAGTGGAGGCAGCTCATTATTCAGCTTTGACTACGGGGTGAGGCAGGGCTTCAGGAGACGGAGCCTTGCCTGGATCTGTGTTAGTAGGATGTGTTTGTAATTGTGGTATTTTTAACTCCAGGGCTCCATATGAGCCCTGAGTCCCCATTTATGGCCTCATCTGGTTCTGCTGTGAAAGTACAAAACAGGCACAAGCCCTGCAAGGACCCTTCCCAGCACAGATCTTTGTGTCCTCTTTTGGGTGGTCCCTGACTTCTCAGGATGGATGTATTTTTTATGTTCAAAGGATGTGAGTTTGGGGGTACCAGGGTAAAATGCTATGGTTTGAATGTCCCCTCCAAAACTTATGCTGAAATTGGTTTGCTGTCATTACAGTCTTAAGAACTGGAGTCTTCATGAGATGATTGGGCCACAAGGGCTCTGTCCTCCTCATGAATGCTATTGTCTCAGATAAGGATTTGCCTCCTCTTGTTCTCACTGCAAACCCTCCACCACACACACACACTCACACTCACACACTCACACTCACACTCACACACAAAGGGTGCATTCCCTTTGCTCTGCAGCCACCTGATGCCTTCCACTGTGAGAGGGTGTGACAAAAATATCCTTACCACATACCTGCACCACAATCTTGAACTTTCTGCCTCCAGAGCTGTGAGCCAATCCATCTCTGCTCATTCTAAATTTCCCAAGCTGTGGGATTCTGTTACAAGAGCACAAAGCAGACCAAGAGAGCATCCTCACACTTCACCAGCCCTGACACTGACGGCCATAGGATCTTCTGCCAGGTAGGAAATCTGTCCACTGCTCAGTAGGTGTAGGCCTATGTTCCCAGAACCCCTGGCTAGAGGCAGGATGCTGAGGAGAAGCCCTTGTTTGCCAGAGGTCCTGACCTCCAGAAGTGTTTTCAGAATACCTGGTTGGGGGTTTGAGTCCATCCATACTCTGAGGGTCTGATCTACCTATTGTGGATTGCTTGTGTCCTCCTAAAATCCCCATGTTGAAAACTAATCCCTAATGTGATGGTATGAGGGGGTGGGGACATTGGGAGATGATTAGTTCATGAGGGCAAAGCATTCTTGAATGGTATTTTAAAAAAGGACCCCACAGAGCCCTCTCCATTCTCTGTCAAGTAAGGATTCACTGCGAAGTCAGCCCTCTCACCAGATCTGACCATGTTGGCACCCTACTCTCCTACTTCTGGCCTCCACAACTGTGAGAAGTGAATCTCTGCTGCTTAAGCAACCTGGCTAATGGCATTTGGACACAGTAGCCCATGTGAACTCAGATGTGGCATCTCTCTAGGCCCAGTTGGGTTTAGTACCTGGTAAGGGACGCTCAGGTCTGACAGTCTATGTTCTCAGAGTGTTCTAGGCCACTGAATGTCCTACCTGAACAGCTGGTCTCTAGAACAGGCTGGGGATCCCCTTTGTCTCACAGAGCCTTGGGGAGGTTTTCTAGAAAATACCCACAGTATTCCCCTCACCCATGAGGGGTACATTTCTAGATGTTCCAAGGTTCCTGCAGTTGTGGGTAGTATGAAACCCCATGCAGAACATGGCTTTTTAAAATATACATACTCATGATAAAGTATACACAGTAACTAGGCACAATGAAAGATTACCAACAACTAATAAAATAAAATCATTGGAGCTGAGGGTGTAGCTTAGTGGTAGAGCGTATGTTCAATATATAGGAGGCCCTGGGTTCCGTCTCCCACAGAAAGAAGGAGCAGGAGGGAGGGGAGGAGGGAAGGAGAGAGAGAGAAACAATGACAATAACACACTGTAATAAAAGTTATTTAAAGGTCACACTGTTATACTGTAAATTGGTTAATGTTTTTGGGCTGAGGTTGATGGTAGGTGACTTAAATCATGGAAAATAAAAGTGCAAATAAGGGGAGCTAAGTCACTTGGGCTGTGTGCACCTTCACCCCTTCTTGCTGTTCTCCCGGTTACTCTCCAGTTTCCATTCCAGAGAACTTGCCCCGCAAGCCTGGTGACTGCTGCCCTGGTCGGGTCCCCAGCCTGTTTCTACTCAGGTTCTGCCACCAGGAGGCAGTGTGGCCTGCAAGAGGCCACTGTCCCTGGAGCTGAGAGTTCCAGTCACTACCCTATATCCACTGAGAAGACCCTTTCTAAGGCCCTGGAGGACATTTAGAACAACTAGATTTTCCATCATCGCAATCACCTAAGAGTCTGAGGAACTTCCAGGTACCTACTGATGGAGAGGTGGCCAGAACATGTCTAGACACCATTTCCAAGCCTACCCACAGACTGCCAGAGCTGGCTGCCTACGAGTCACCAGAGGAAATTGTTAAAAAAAAAAAAAAAAAAAAAAGTCATGTACACGTTTGTAATCCCAGCTACTCGGAAGGCTGAGGCAAGAGGATCGCAAGTTCAAGACCCACCTGGGAAACTTGGTAAGACTTTATTTCAAAATAAATTTTTAAAAAGCTCCGAGGATCTAGGTCTGTGGTACATCACATGTGCAAGGCCCTAAGTTCAATCTTCAGTACCAAAACAAACAAACACAATCAAAAATCCCCAAAAGGTGGAGAGAAGGCAGACTGTCGGGGACTGTGTACTGGAGGAACTGCGTGCTGGTGAGCTGCATGGCCTTTCCTTTTGCCTCTTCTCTCTCACCCTTGGAGCTGAAGATGCCAGCAACTTGGGAATGCCAACAGATACAGACAAAAACAACACTAACAAAAATCTGCACTGTGTGGCCGAAGGACCAGGCAGGAGAGGCTTTGCCAGATAACAGACTCATAGACAATGACCACTCTGCTCCAGCCAGGGCCTCTGAAAACACCCACCCATGCTGACAGTGGTGGAGTGGGGGTCTACATGCTCACACTTGTGAAACTGTAGCAAGGTGTCGGGAAGGCCATGGGGGGAGCTGAGACTGCCGCCCCTGCTGCTGGATAACAAGCACTCCCCGTGGTGACACAGTGTGGCAGAAAGCACGTAAGGAAGCTGGACTCCCACCCTGCAATGGTGTGGCTGTGGTATGTCCTCCCAGGGTTCACATGTAGGAGGCTCGGTCCCCAGTGTGACAGTGTGGGAGGTAATGGAATCCTTAAGCAGTACAGCCTGGCGTGGGGGCCTTAGGTCCCTGGAAGCACTGTCTTTGGAAGGGTTTCATGTTGTTCTCTGGGACCCTAGACAGTTCCCATGAGAGAAGGCGCTCATAAAAGGGCAAAACTTCCCCTTTCTCACTCTGGATTCATGTCTTTCCACATGATCTCGCCTTCTCATACGTGCTATGATGTCATCCACCAAGATGTGACACAGCCAAGGAGGCCCACATCAGAACTAGCACCATGCTGTTTGGATTTTTACTCTCCCAAACTGTGAGTTAAATAAATTTCTTTTCTTTATAAAGTTAGCTTGCCTCAGGTGTTTGTTGTAGTATCAGAAAATATAATATATCCTCCCACCTCCCAGTAACGAGACCCCTT